GTGAATAATGGATAACTCTAGGTAGAAAAACTGCAAAAAAAAAAAAAAAAAAAAAAAAAAAAAAAAAAAGAAACAGTATAATATGTTGCTCATAGTCAAACAATTCTGCCAATTTCTAAGCTCTACCAAAGGGAGAGTCCTGTGTGCAAAGGGTGTTTGCTGAAGAAAATATCTTGGGGTTAGGGACTTTCAACATCCATTACTTTCTACATGTTCATTTACAATTACTGGTAATGACAGCAGCCAGCACCAACTTAATAAATAGATTGTGCCATTCTTAGCGATGGATGTAAAAAAAAAAAAAAAAAAAAAAAAAAAAAAAAAGCGGTTGTTTACCCTCTTTTCCTTCACCCTCTTTTTTAACGCCCCCAGGCGGCAGCCGCCTCAGCGCTGCCCGCCCAACGGTCGCTCCCGGCCGTTGGCCCCCGCGCGCCCGCCGCGGTGGGGCAGTGCCTAACGGTCGCCGTGAGCGGCAGCGGGCGCTGATGGTGGCCTCCCAGCCGGCTTCTCGCCTCACCCGGCGCCGGAAACGCGCCCTGAGGCGAGGGGAGGCAGTGCTGTGAGGCAGCGGCCATGCCGTCAATCTGGCAAAGAGTGGGGAGAGAGCCTTTAATTTTAAAATCCTCCTCCTTTTTTTTTTTTTTTTCCTTCTTCTTTTCATTTCCCCGTTTAGTGTCTTACTTAGCTTTGTGAGGATGTTGTTCTGCCAATGGGCACCTCACAACACACCTTTCTACCTTACTTTCTAAAAGCATGCCTCATTCCCATTGAATCCTTCCATCTGCCAAATTAGTGATTCCTCCCACCCCGGTCGGTGCTAATGTCCACATAAATATACCACATACCTTAACAGTTCCAAATAATTTTTACTTGTATTTATTTTAATAACAATTGATGTAGTCTCCTTTTAAATTTAATTTTGTTGTTTCGCTGGAAGAAAGAATTGGCAGGGTTCATTTCCATGTTAACTCTCCTGCGTGACACACAAGTAGGTAAAAAGACCGTAGGAGCGGCTGCAATGCACAGGCAATCTATAGCATCATGTTTACCTCCTCTCTGAATAAATGTAGCTCTGATTGGTCCCTGGAGTAGTTTAGGCTCATAGATTAAATGTCAAGATTGAAAATCTGCGCTTTAAGTCATGTCATGTCCATAGTAAGGAGGTTTAAACTCTAGCTTAGTGTTTTCTTCAACACTGTTTAGTTGTTGTGAATGTAGTCGAGTGATTATATTCCAAAATAGAATAGAGAGGTGGGGTTTTGGGTTTTTTTGCTGTTTTTTTTTTCCTATAATGGGAGCCTCATTTCTCTGGAACAACTTTATAATACGAGACAATGTTCTGAAACACTGGTTCTTAAAAGGAGTTTTGGCATGTAAGCACCTCCCTGGCTTCTAGGTACCATATTAAATGGAACTCATTTTCTCCTGTGGCARAAAGGGCTCCTAGGAAGAAATGTGGTTGTACCTTGTATTAACTGCAGGGGTAAAGCTTTCCATCTTTTACKATGTTGTGACAATAAAAAGGGGGGGAAATGTGGCTGACCCTGCTCTGTAGAGTATGTTTGGAGAATATACTTTTTCCTTTGGCATTTCCTGCACAGTAAGTAAGTGCACACTTGCTGGTATATGTCTTCTACCACATCTAATCTCTTAAACTCTCCTGCTTAAAATGCTTGCGGAGGTTCCATTTCCATGTGGAAACATAGAGCGTGTCCACGCTGATGGGCAGCATCTGAAACTGTGACAAAATTGATAGTGGTTAATATTTCCCAATGCTTCCTTTGTGGTTTGGCAGAGGTTATTCTGTGGTTAGCATACAATAATGAGACTTCGCAATAAAGCTTTACGGGAGCTTTGGGGACCTGTTCCCTTTCTGTCCAGCACCATGTTGCTGAAGCATGCTCCTGTCAAGGAAATCAAATTCATACTTCATGTTTGGGAGACGTATRCTTCATTGAATTAAGCTGGCACTAGGGCCTGATTGCTGAAGTGAATGGTATTTCAGTCTAGTAAAAGAACACTCTTCTCCATAGACTYTTTTTTTCATTAAAATTTTTTTCAGGAGAATATTTAGTTGAGGTTAAGAAATCCTCCTGATTGATTGTCTGCAACAAAGCTGCCTCAGAGTTCACTTTGAGGTTGATTTTTATCTTGAGAAACTGAGCTATGGAAAACAGATTCCCTTTATAATAGTCTTCTAATAGGTGGAAGCAAAGAATAATAGAATAATAAAGGGCATAATCAAGTCTATAAGTGTGATAATTAAATCTGTAAGGGTTGCGCTCCAGAGGCATGGGACAAGTTTCTCCTAAGATTTCTGAGGCAATCACAGGCTGCTGTCAAGGGAGAGATACTAAGATGCCAGCTTAATACTTTCAAACTTCAGATRCGTCATAAGCGTACACTGAAAGCAAATGCATCAGTGTCAAAACTGACAAGCTCTGTGAATCCAATGTTATGCACTAGCTAGGAACAACAGCGTTGAATCCATCATAAGAACTAAGCGGAATGAACAAATAAAGATGACCTGGTTTTAATTTGAAGCATTTCTAATTACATCTAACCTTTCTCAACACAAAACATGGGTCCTGATTTCTTGATTACTCTGGTGAGRCATGGCAAGATATGGCAAGTTTCTGAAAATGTAACAATGCTTTTGATAGAGCAAAACCATAAGCTAATAATGATATAATATCCAATATTCTGCATCCAGTAAATTTCAGAAACAGTGCAGTAGTACCTAGACCAATTAGATATTCCATCTTCCTCTTAATGTAATTATAGTRTGACATAAATATGAGATCTGTTTTCTGGTTTTGGTTCAGTAAGGAAGTTGTGGGAAATCATGCCTTTTTTGCACCCCTGAGATATTCTAATATTACCAAAAGTTTCTGAGTGAATATATCAGTGAAATAGAAGAATTTGCCTTTTTTTGGTGCTTTAAAACATGAAGCTTTAGCTTACTGACAAGCTATATATAAGCTATATAGAGAAATTCCCATCTTGGAGCTTCTTCTAGGTTTTCATATACCTGTCATTATAATTATTTGCTTCTTCTAAGAAATGTTTACTGTACAAGAATCCCAAGACATTTTTACAAGGTCTCTTTCCCCAAGACTTTCAGAGTTGTCTGATCCACCTCTGAAAATAAGTGTTTTACCCTCCTCTGCTCTGCTGAGTCATTTTTCAAGCTGTACTTTCCCAATAGCTTCTTTCCTGTGATTCTACTGCACCTTTCATCTTTTGTTTCCCAAAAATGAGTATTTGTTGTCTAGTTTAACCCTTGCCTTGCTAAAAATGGCTTTAAATCCAGACCTGAGATGCTCATAGTATTTGAAACAGTAGTCTGTAACTCAGTAAATACCATTTCCAATAGCAGATACCAAGTGCAAACAAGCTTGAAAATGTTGTGCGGGTGTAGTACCAGCACGGAGCCCTCCTTGGCTTCACAGCTCCCAGATGATGTCAGTCTGAGAACGCTCAGGCAGGTGGGTGCGATCAGACATTGCCTCTTCCCTTCGTCTTCTTGCAGAAAAGAAGAAAACCAGAAAAGGCTATTTTGGTTGTTACAATAAACTAGAATATTTTTGCCTGGCAAAAACAAACCAGCAGCACCTAGCTGTAAAAATGTCAGTCTATGAAAGTAACTAAACAGCAAAGATTTTATGTTCCAACTCATATTCAATTTAAGCAGAACAATATTTATTCAAATAAATTTATTGCAATGGTGTATGGGTATAACCAAATGCTGAAATAAATAGTTCTGTGACATCAATAAAAAAGCTAACAAGTTCTCCCAGGTGAAACACTGGTGAACTAATTAAGGTAAAAACTAATACAAGAAAAACATTAGACTTTGCATTATAGTTATTAACTGCAGTCATAGTACAAATGACCTGATTTTTTCTTTTTCTGGTGCTGTATGTTCAGTTGGACTCTTACAGACTGCACTGGAAGCCCCTACTTGTGGATTACCAGAACTGTCTATATTGCTTGCAGGAAAGCACATGCAGAAACCCTTATGGCAGGCCTCAAAGCTTGGCATCTTAGTTCAGGGATTCGTTCTGCATTGTGGTGGACTTTCTCAAACCTTTTCTTCTTTTGTGCCTTCACCTTTTGAGTCACTGTTTTTGCATACTTTACTGTGCGGTTTTACAATATGCAGCAATCCATAGTACTATGACAATATCATGACTTYGACATGCTCATCATTTTCGGAAGCAGATGCAGTATCAGTCTGAGAATACTTCTGTGTTCTGGTTAGGGGGAGTAGTGAAAAGGCAGTAGTGGTGGTGGTCACTGCATTTTATCTGTGCCCAAACTCTGCTCCTCACAGCTTATATCAGTCCTTCAGGAAGCTTTCAGGGAGATTAGTTGTTGGTCTACTGAGATGCTGACTTCATATCCAGTCTGCAGTTCCTGAAGTCCTCAAAGAGATCCCCGCAAAGGGCC